ATAAAGAAAGAGAACTTGAACAATACTATAAACCCAGTATACTCAACAGAAATATGCAGAATGCTCCACTCAGCAGCAACAGAACATACATTCACCAGTGCACGTGGCACGTTCTCCAGGACAGCTGACGTGTCACGCCGTAAATCATATCTTAAACCATGTTTTTAAAGATTGAAATTATATGAAGTATCTTCTCTGACCACAGCAAAATAACTAGAGATAAATAACAGAAGCGAAACTGGAAAATTCATAAATAAATGAAAGCTAAATAATATACTCTTAAGCAACCAATATGTCAAAGAAGAAATCATAAGGCTAATTAGAAAATGCCGAGACAAATGAAAAAAAGAACACAACAAACCAAAACTTTCAGGGCATGGAAAGGAATGTATAGCTATAAGCACCTGCACAGAAGAGACGTAGAATCAAGAACCCAACAGCATACCGTCAGAAGCCAGAGAAACGGAAATAAACACACAGCTAGCAGAAGGAAGGAAACAGTAAAGATTAGAGTGGAAATAAATAAAATAAGCAATAACAAAACAATAAAAAATCAGGCCGGGCACGGTGGCTCACGCCTGTAATCCCAGCACTTTGGGAGGTCGAGGCGGATGGATCACGAGGTCAAGAGATCAAGGCCATCCTGGTCAACAAGGTGAAACCCCGTCTCTACTAAAAATACAAAAATTATCTGGGCATGGTGGTGCATGCCTGTAGTCCCAGCAACTCGGGAGGCTGAGGTAAGAGAATTGCTTGAACCCAGAAGGTGGAGGTTGCAGTGAGTCGAGATCGTGTCATTGCATTCCAGTCTGGGTAACAACAGCGAAACCCCATCTCAAAAAAAAAAAAAAAAACAAGAAAAAACAAAAGTGAATTCTTTGAAGAGGGTCCACAAAATGGACAAACCCAGTTAGATTAAGAAAAAAAGAAAGGCGACTGAAAATGCCGAAATAAAAGTGAAAGTGGTACATTACTAGCAACCTTGACAGAAACTAAAAGGATTATGACAGTATGAAGCATGACTGTGTAACCTAGATGAAATGGACCAATTCCTAGAAACAAACAAGCTAACAAAATTGACTCAAGAATAAAAAAAAAATATGAACAGACTTATAACAAAAAGACTGACTCGGTAATAAAACAAAACTCCTAACAAAAAAATCCCGGAGTCAGATTGCTTCCCCGATGAATTCTACCAAACAGAGAGAATTATTAACATCAATTCTTCCCAAACTCTTCCAAAAAACAAGAGGAAGGAAGAAACACTTTTTCTATGAGGCCAGTATTTACTCTGATACCAAAGCCACACAACGATACCATATGAATAGGAACCTATATGCCAATATATCCCTTACGAATACATGTGCAAAAATCTTCAACAAAATACTAGCAAACTGAATCCAGAAATATACTAGAAAGATTATACACCATGAACAAGTGGGATTTATCACAGTAACAGAAGAGGGGTTCAACACAGAATATCAATCAACACAATACACCATCTTAACAGAACCAAGGGAAAAAACTATAAGATCATCTCAAATTGGTGCAGAAAAGCATTTGACAAAATCTGACACCCTTTCATCATTCAAAAATTCAACAAACTAGAATTAAAAGGGAACCTCTTCAGCATAACAAATGGCATTTATAAAAACCTACAGTTAATATCATATTCAACAGTGAAAGACTGAAAGCTTTTTCCCTAAAATTGCTTATGGGAACCTAAGCAAGGATGCCACTTTTGCCACTTCTATTCAGCAGTGTCCTGGAAGCACCAGCCAGAGCAATTAAGGAAGAAAAAGCCCGGGCACGGTGGCTCATCCCTGTAATTCCAGCACTTTAGGAGGCCGAGGCAGGTGGATCACCTGAGGTCAGGATTTTTGAGACCAGCTTGGTAAACATGGTGAAACCCCATCTCTACTAGAAATACAAAAACATTAGCCGGGTGTTGTGGTGTGCACCTGTAGTCCCAGCTACTTGGTAGGTTGAGGCATGAGAATTGCTTGAACTCGGGTGGCAGAGGTGGCAGTGAGCCAAGACCACGCCACTGCACTCCAGCCTGGATTTTGACAGAGCAAAATTCTGTCAAAAAGAAGAAAAAGAAAAATAAGAAAAAGGAAAAGGAAGGAAGGATGGATGGATCTAAATTGTAAGAGAAGAAGTAAAAGTATCTCTACTCATAGATAACATTATCTTAAGTACAGGAAATCCTAAAAATCCACAAAGAGCAAACTATTCGAGCTAATAAAGGATTAGAGCTTACAATTGTAGGGTACAAGGTCAACACTGAGAAAAATCAGTTGTTTACTAGAAATGAGCAATCTCAAAGGAAATTAAGAAAACAATTCACAAAACTTGTCACAAAGCTAAAGTAATCAAAACAATGTGGTATTGGTGTAAGAACAGACATATAGACCAATGGAATAGAACTGGGAGTCGCAGAATGAATCCATACATTTAACTTCTTCAGAGTTAAACTTGATTTAGGACTTTGATTTAGCCATGGCTTCTTAGAAATGACACCAAAAGTACATGCCACAAAAGAAATAATAGATTTTGTCTTCATCAAAATCATAAGCCTTTTGTGCATCAAAGGACACTCTCAAGAGAGTAAAAAGATAACCCAAAGGATGGGGAAAAATTTCAAATTATATGTACTAAAGCTCTAGTGTGCAGAATATATAAGGAGCGCTTATAACTCAACAACGGAACACATGCAGCTCAAATGTTAAAATAGTCAAAATGCTTGAATAAACATTTCTTCAAGGAAGACAGACATTTATTTATTATTTGAGATGGCATTTTGCTCTTATTGCCCCGGCTGGAATGCAGTGGCATGATCTCAGCTGCAACCTCTGCCTCCTGGTTCAAGCAATTCTCCTGCCTCAGCCTCCCGAGTACCTGGATTACAGGCGGCTGCAACCATGCCCAGGAAGAGACGAGTTTTCACGATGTTGGCCAAGGTGGTCTCACATTCCTGACATCAGGTGAGCCACCTGCCTTGGCCTCCCAAGGTGTTGGCCAGGGTGGTCTCACATTCCTGACATCAGGTGAGCCACCTGCCTTGGCCTCCCAAGGTGTTGGCCAGGGTGGTGTCACATTCTTGACATCAGGTGATCCGCCTGCCTTGGCTTCCCAAGGGGCTGGGATTACAGGCACAAGCCACTGCACCCAGCCCGTTTATATTTTATTATTTATTCACTCTGTTTCCCAGGCTGAATGAAGTGCACTGGCATGATCCCAGCTCACTGCAACCTGCACCTCCCAGGTTCAAGCAATTCTCCTGCCTCAGCGTTCAAGTAGCTGAGATTACAGGCCCCTGCCACCAACGCCCAGCTAATTTTTTTTTAAAATTTTTGTATTTTTAGTAGAGACAGGGTTTCACCATGTTGGCCAGGCCGGTCTCGAACTCCTGACCTCAGCTGATCCACCCATCTCAGCTTCCCAAAGTCCTGGGATTACAGGCATGAGCCACCATGCTTGGCCCAAGGAAGATATAGAAATGGCCAACAAGCACATGAAAAAAGGCACAACATCTTTAGTCAAAAGGAAATTCAAATTAAAACCACAATTAGATACCACTTCATGCCCACTGGCACAGCTATAATTTAAAAAAAAAAAAAAAAAACCCAGAAAATAACAAGTGATGATGAGGATATGCAGAAATTGGAACTTTCATACATTGCTGGCAGAAACATAAAATGCATCCATCATGGGAAACAGTCTGGCAGCTCCTCAGTATGCTAAACACAGAATTGCAACATGAGCCAGAAATTCTCCACCAAGGCATATACCCAAAGGATTTGGAAACCAGTGTTCAAACAAAAACATATACACAAATGTTCCTGCTGTCACCATTCGCAATAGCAAAGAGTGGAACAACCCAATGTCCATCGCCTGACAAATGGATATGCAAAGCATGGTACATACGCACAAGCGAGCATTATCCTCCCACGAAAAGGAATGAAGCAACGATGTGTGCTGCAGCATGGAGGAACATTAAAACACCGCGCTACAGCTGGTTACAAAAGAGCACATGTAACATGACTCCATCTGCATGAAATGCCCAGAAGAGGCAAATCTACAGAGACAGAAAGTAGATGAGTGGCTGCCAGGGCTGGAGTAACCTGTGTGCCACCACAGAACACCACACACTGGGTGGCAGACAGGTACTTCTCACAGTTCTGGAGGCTGGGAGATCCACACTCAGCACTTCAGCAGATTCGGTGTCTGGTGAGAGCCATTTCCTGGTTCACAGAGGTACCTTCTCTCCGAATTCTTACAGAGCTGGATGGGGGCGGGGGGGGCGGGGGAGATGAGGGAGCTCTGTGGGGCCTCTTTTATAAGGGCACTAATCACATTCATGAGGCCCCACCCTCATGTCCTGATCACCTCCCAAATCCCCACCTAATACCATCTATCACCTTGGGGGTTTCAAGTATGAATGTGGGGGTGGACACATTCAGATCATGGTAATAAACCCCTACCAAAGAATAAGAAATTTAGGTCTATAATAAATCTCTATCAAAGAATAAGACATTTAGGTCTACTAGATTTATTTATTTATTTATTTTTGGGACAGAGTCTTGTTCTGTCACCCAGGCTGGAGTGCAGTGGTGCCACCTCAGCTCACTGCAACATCTGCCTCCTGGGTTCAAGCAATTCTTGTGCCTCAGCCTCCCAAATAGCTGGGATTACAGGCACACACCAGGACACCTGGCTAATTTTTGTGTTTTTTGGTAAAAACGGGGTTTTACCATGTTGGCCAGGTTGGTTTTGAACTCCTGACCTCAAGTGATCCACCCACTTCAGCCTCCCAAAGTGCTGGGATTACAGGTGTGAGCCGCCGTGCCAGCCTCTACCAGCTTCTTGATACATGTCAGACCCCATTACCACCAGGACACTTGTTGTCAGTATTTGAACAACATGAAACTGTTTCAGTGTGTAAGTTGATAACAAACTGCAAATTATAGTTTAATAAACCAAGCATGTTTACTTACCACCTCGGGGAGAAGGAGAATTGTGCCCCCCAATGATCACATGGATCCCAGAATCTTCCAGTTTCACTTTCCACTTTTCAATGATAGCCCCAGACTTGTCCTGAAAGCAGGTCAGGAACCTTCCCTCAGAACGGTCAACCATTACTGACCCTGGGCTAAGTCACCCAACAGGAAGTTCACAGATACCTTACTGGCATCGTTGAAAACAGAGAGCTCCATGATGCCTTCAAAGTCCTGCTGCAAAACAGACCTCAGACATTCATCCAGCCATGGTTCAGCGTTGTGGACTGGGAGAATAATAGACTGGAATTCAAAAGAGATGGATTAATAGAAAGGTGAAAACTCAATTTCCTATCCATGGCTCTGATTTACTTCCCTTTCACCATCCGCACATAAGCTGTGACAAAAGGGTCCAGTCCTTCCCTCCAGGCTCTTAACATGCTTTCAGTGCATAAGACTTAGTACAGGTTAGCTTTCCCTGAACTGGCCTTCCATACGCTTTTGAAAGGGGGAAAATACTTAAAGTCATCAAAATTCTTCCAATTCAATGGTAAATCATGAGTTTTCCAATCACTGATTGGAAACATCATTTTGGTTGAAACAGGTATCTGGATATCTTCCTACCTACTCATGAAAATAACTGGTTGGTCATTTTCTGGGTGAAACAAGCATTTCAGCAAACCATGTTAGGGGACCTGCAACAAAGTACCCCTTTAAGTAACCCCTTACCCACAAAAAAACAATGCTGTAACAAAGTATCCGGCAGGAGGTGTTCAGAGAACCAAGCTGAGCAAACGGGAGGCCTGAAGTTTATTTCTCTATTCCTACGTTCTACCCTTAGCAATATGGCTGGTTTTGCACTAGCACTGTCTTTTTCTCATGAAGCCCAAAAGAAAAAAAAATTTTTTTGAGACGGAGTCTCGCTCTGTAGCCCAGGCTGCGGTGCAGTGGCGCAATCTTGGCTCACTGCAACTTCTAACTCTTGGGTCCCGGTTCAAGCAATTCTCCTGCCTCAGGCTCCAGAGTAGCTGGGATTATAGCCACGCGCCACCGTGCTAATTTTTCTATTTTTAGTAGAGATGGGGTTTCACCATATCGGCCAGGCTGGCCAAAACAAAAATTTCTAAAGCGGTATGGAGTAAAACCAGTGAAACCCAGCACCAACAAAACAGGTGAGGCAGGTTAGTCTTAATTGTATACACGGTAGTATTGAGTGATACGGAGCGATACTCAGAGACCAGTCTGTCCTCACCCTTAATTTATATCAAAAAAAGTTGAAATTGTGTTGAAAACACAATTTAGTCAAGTTCTTTACAAAGGAAACCTCGCTCTATCCCTTCCTGGACTTATTTTTACAAGAACAAAGTAAGTTCCCTAACTTACAAATTTACCTTACTTTGGATTTACTAAAAGGAAAGGTAATAATTTTTCTCAAGATCTACAAAATATAATGTTTCTGGAAAAGATAGACCTTGATTAATCTGTCCCCAATTTTTGTAACACTGGAATAAAAACGATTAGAAAAAAGAAAAAAGACTGGAATATAAAAGAAAACATGCTAAGCCTTTGGGCGACTGCTAACCCTAACCCCAGTGGTTGTTCACCGAATTGGCCTATTGGCTGGGTCTGAACCCTGAGGGCCTCGGCTCAGCCTCTGCCGGCGCACGGGGAAGGTGTTTGGGGCTTGTGGGCAGTTTAGGGCAGGTGTTTGGGGCAAGTGTACCGACACACAGGCAGGTGTGTGGACATGGAGCAGGTGTACAGGCAGGTGTGCGAGGCAGGTGTGTGGAGGTGTGTGGCACGGAGCAGGTGCGCAGGTAGGTGTGTGGCGTGTGCAGGCAGGTGTGTGGGGCACGGGCTGTATGCGGGACGCAGGGCAGGCGTGTGAGGCAGATGTGCAAGCACAAGACGGGTGTGGGGCATGGGCAAGTGCGCCGGGAATGTGTGAAGGCAGGTGTGTGGGCGTGGGGTTGTGTGGGGTACACGGACAGGTGTGCGGGGCATGGGGAGTTGTGTGAGAGGGTGTGCGGGTGCGGACAGTGTGCAGAGTGTGGGGCGCAGGGCAGGTGCGCCGGGGCTCGTGTGTGGGATGCGGGGCAGGTGCACAGCCTCGGACAGGTGTGCGAGGGCGGGGCAGGGGAGCAGGGGCAGGGCAGGTGTGCAGGAGTGAGGCAGGTGCGCAACGCAGGTGTGTGGGGTGCGGGGCAGGTGTGCGGGCTCGGAGAAGAAAGGCGGGAAAGGCGGGCCAGGGCAAGGCAGGTGTGCCGTCCAACCGACCCCGACCAGGTGAGGGCGAGCACGAAACCGCCTGAGCTCCGGCCCGGAAGTTTCAAAACCAGAACGCGGAAGGCCGGTGAGAAGGCCGCGCTCGCGGGATGGAGCGCAGGAAGCGCAGCCCGAGCGGCAGGTCCCGGCCACGCCCGCGGCCTCCAATCCCGAGCGTCCCTCGCACGCGCAGCCACGCTCGCCCGCGGAGCCTAAGCGCTGCTCAGGGCGGAGACCCCGTAGGCGAGCCCGAGAGGCGGCGCGGGGCTGCGGACCCCAGAGCTGGAGAGGACTGGAGGGCGGGATGAGGAGGGCGAATACCCAGCCTGAGCGGCGGCGGGGAGGTGGTGGTGGGGGTGGGGGGGTCCCCGTCCCCGTCCCCGTCCCCTCCCCTCCCCTCCCAGCGGGGAACCTACCACGTGGGCTTTCATGGCCTGGCGCTACCCGGATGCCCCGCCCACGCGAGCTCCGCGCGGCCGGCGCTTCGGCCTAAGGCGCCTGCGCAGGGGGCACCAGGAGGCGGGTCTGAGGTCAGGCAGCCTCCAATTGGTGCAGAGCGGCGTCCATCGGGGTGGGGCGTGGCGGGGGCGGGGCTGCTCGGCGCAAGGCGGGGCCTTGAGGTCGCGGCCTCTGCCTTCCGCCCTGGGCCACACCCCGGTCCCGGGTCACCCCTGGAGGCCTCGTTCCCGACCGCGGAAGCTTCTCGTCGTCGCCCGGGGCGCCCGTTACTGTCTCCGGTCCCCCGTAGACGCCGCCGTGGGGAAGGCGGGGCTGTGCGAGGGCCGCGCGCTGCAGACCCCAGCCGGGCGGCCCGGAGGTTGCTGTGAAGCCTCAGACAGGCTGGTGTGTTTCACCCGGGCTGTTCCACCTCACCGGGGTGGACGAGGGGAGCGCAGGGGGACTTTTCAGACAGACTCTGTTGGGGGAGCGGGGCGCGCAGGACACGCGGCCGCCCCAGGAAGGCGGGGAGTGAGGCCCTGACTCCGCTAGGGTGTCCCCAGGAGGAGGGGTGTCCAGGATGGACTTCTCTGGGAGCGGGGTGGGGGTGCCAGGGATGAGGCCCCGACACTACTGTGATGTCCCCCAGGAGGAGAGATGCCCCGGCTGAGGCCCTGACCCCACCAGGAGGTCCCCCAGGAGGAGGGGTGCCCGGGTGAGGCCCTGACCCCACGGTGATGCTCCCCACGAGAAGCAGTGCCCAGGGTGAAAACGTGACCCCAGTGGCTCCGGGTACCCTCCACCTTCACCCTCATTTCCGCCTCCCCATGCAGCCTTGGGAACTGCAGGGCTGGGAACTCAGAGGTGGTTCCCTACCAGGAACACAGGCCAGGCCCCATCTCTCTCTAACCTTGTACTTGAGGAACACAGAGCGGGTATCTCCGGATTTGAATCCTGAACGCGAGGCCTGTGAACCCAGCAGTTCTGAACTTGTTGGGGGAGCAGCCTGTCATAAGGGGTCTCCCAGGCGGCTGCGACGCCTCTGGAGCTTCCCTGCTTGGAGGAGGTTGACTGGGGACAGGGGCATTGTGGAGGTCAATTAAAGAGACTGCCTCAATTAGCCCCGTGCTGCCTGCACACAGAGATTAAGCCCTCTTGGGATTTGTTCCAGCTGATCTGAAGTAATGACTAATTCACAGTTAATGAGCACGGCTGTAAGCATCCCTTCCTGGACAAATCCTTTGCTGTCCAAAACTAAGATTAAATGCAAATCATTCTATCAATTAACCGTTATAACAAAGCCAAACTTCTGCTAAGCATCACTTCACGTGTGATTTTTTTCTTAAATTGCCTCATTATTTGCAAAGCCTGCTTCACAAGTGGAAATGCTTGTCAGATGAGTAAAAATACAGCCTGATTTACAGTTCAACAAAAGCAATCTGAGAATTTGCTTCCAAGGACCTCATTTTCTCCAGAGGTTGGGGGTGCTAGGAATCATGTCATTGTGAAGGACTTGGTACAGAGTAGCCCTGCAGCTGACAGAATGCACTGTAGCTCATGAGAAGGTGGTCAGGGGTCACATACGGTCTCTGCATACAGCACGTGGCACCCCGAACTGGATGTGCTCCCACCTTTCTTCCTGTACATTTCCTGCTGCCAGAAATTCACTTTTTTCTCGCTTCCCCGTAATTCAAATTTGATTAGAATCTCCTTTTTGGAAACTCGCAAAGGGCCAAGGTGCATTTCAGAAACGCAAGGCCGCAGGGGTGGGATCCTGAAATCCAAGGGAAGGTAGGCCTGAGATCACTGTCCTCACAGTAGGAAGACCCTCGGGGAGAGGCCAGCAGAGGTCTGGACGGAAGGACTGAGACCCACCCTGGAGAGGGACAGGAAGGGGCACCTGGGGCCTCAGAGCTTGCTGAGCTGAGATCCTGCCGTCTTCATTCAGAGGGAGGTGAGGTGGTGATGACAGATGAAGAGTGTCACGTGGGCGCCTGCAGAGGAAGTGCACAAAGCCCTCCACATCTTTGGGTTTGCTGAATGGGCAGTTGTACTTATTTTGTTTTATTTTTGTAGGGATGGGGTTTTGCTGTTGCCCAGACTGGTCTCGAGCTGTTGCCCTCCCAGACTGCTGGGATTACAAGTGAGAGCATTGCACATAGCCAGTTTTCTTTACTTTTAATTGTTGCGTATGCAAAAGGTTTCGGCGCATACTGTCTATATTCAGAGGACTCGGTACCAACTGCCAGGGGCTTGGAGTAGGTACGGTGGTCTCAATGTGTGACCCCCCAAACCATATGTTGACACCTGAGAGACTCGAGGGAGCCCTTTGGTCCCTTCCTCCATGTGAGGATGCATAGAAGGTAACATCTCGGGGAATAGGCTCTCACCAAGCACCACATCTGGGAGTGCCTTGATTCTGGACTGCTCAGCTCCAGAACTGTGAGCAATAATTTCTATTGTTTGTAAATTACAAGGTCTAAGGTATTTTGTTATAGCAGCACAAATGGACCAAAACACCGGGTCTCCAAATTGATGAGCACCCCAGCCCCACTCACTGCTGGTGTGGGAGGCAGGGATTCCCTGTGGTCCGAACGAGCGTGTTAGCCTCGGGGGACCCTGTCCCCAGTAAGCATGGCTCTGCTGTGAGTGCAGTTAGTGAGGGCTGAGTTCGAGCTTTAGAGACAAGAGCCAGACAGGTTCCTGTGACAGCCTGCTCTCCAAGACCTCCGTGTGTCCTTTCCAAGTTTCCTGAGGGCACAGAACCAGTCGACCTCCCATAGGCAGCAGGTGCTGCTTGGGGGTCCGGATCACTGGAGACTGTAGGAGACCACTCTGCACGTGGTGACCACAGCACCCCAATAGTAAAGCTGCCAGTGAGGGCAGCCCAGCTGTTCAGGAGGGTGCGCTGAGGTCATCTCTTCCACGTGTCTCATGTTTTTAAAGGCTGACCATGACTCACCCTGTGGATTTAATGACTCGTTAAGGAGTTCCACCCATGCTCTTTAAAAAAGTAATCTACAGAAAGATAAATTAAAAAGTTGTCTCTAGCACAGTAGGCCAATGGCGGATGTGGGCCCACAAGTTCCATTCTTCAGCAGCACACATTCCTGGTTCAGACCTGTGGGGGTTTCTGATTGACAGGGAAACCCTGTAGCGGACTCAGGGGATTGATTCTGAGCCAGGGGTGGGTGTCCCAGACTGGAGCTTGTGGGCTACGGGCTGGTCCTACAAAAGGAAAGTCAAGCCTGTGAACTGGAGAACCTGGACAGGGAGGCTGAGGTGATGGCATGCTGTGGATCCCTGAAATCCTGTTATGTGTCAGAGGGAAGGGACATCCTCATATGGCCCCTTGGAGGGACCAAGGCCTGACCCAGCGCCTTGCACAAGGCAGCATGCAGTCAGTGTTGGCTCCAGCAATCTGCACCATGAGGCACTCCACAGTGAGGTGGAGATCTGACTGGCCTAGCACTTCCTAACTTCCAAGCACTGCAAACAGCACCTCATTAAAGCCCCTGCTCCACGACTGACCTGAAACCAGGACCTGCAAACTTCCCTGGGCCTGCAGGAGGGGATGAGGTTCCTATCACAAGACTCGTACTGTGATCAGCGGTGCAGGTGTTCGCTGTGGATTCTAGATGAGCATAAAAAACCACAGAGAACGTTTGCCTTTAGTCCCCTGCCCACCCCAGCCCAGAATGCAGAGGAGTCAGGGGCTACACGTGGAGTGTTTCATGCTCAGGAGGCTGGGGCAGGGGCCAGAGAGGAGGTGGGAGGTGGCCAGGAACAGCAAGCTCTGCTGAGGGGTCCGAGTCAAGGGCTGGACCCTGGATCTCCACGAGCCTGGAGAATCCTCCACCTGAGGGGCCTCTGCTTGTTGTCAGCTGGGGCTGCCCCTTGGGGCATTTACTCTGGGGTGGTGACTGCAGGATTCCACAGGTGTACTGAGCCGGAGGCTGTTTTCACTGTGGAGGCTGCCCTGCAGTTGGGGCCCAGAGTGTGGGACAGGCTGACTCAGGAGCTGACTGTCAAGGTGGGAGGGGGAGATGTGCAGTGGAACTGTGGCGTCACCTCTGGGGCACGGCCCACACGTAGGGTCTGCCCTGCTGCACACTCAGCATTCGAGGCAGATTCGGAGGTGCCCTCAGCCCACAGCTCTGCAAGTCCTGAGACAATCTATGGTGATGGAAGGTGCCTGCGGACAGCATGGGGTGGGGCATGGCACCCTTGTGTTCCATGCAGAGGTACCTGCGCTGGCCACGCTCCGTGCAGGGGTGCCTGTGTCGTTAGCAGGCTGACCTGGACGGGAGAGGCCTGTGCTGAACAATTTTCTATGTTCAGATAGAGAGCAAGAAGGCATCTCATGTGGGTCACAAGCATATATTTATGGAACTCACAACCGCGAGATACGCCTGGCATTTTTCACACGTGGGAGGAAGTGCTGGGATCAGCCGGTGCCTGGGAGAATGCTGAGGATAAGTGGGAAGCCAGGTGTTCCAGGGCACCTCTGCGTCTCACATGAGACCTTGTGAGGCCCCGTTGTGCCCCTGACGTCGCTGTCGAAGCTGGAGCCATCCCCCACCACCACCCGCCTCCCTCTGGCGTCCTTCCCAGCTGGCCCTGCCAGCTTATGTGGAAGACGGCTGCTGAGAAGCAGGTGTGATGCCTGCCCGTTCGTGAAGCCACACTGGGACCTGTCTCGGCTCTGCCATGACCTGGCCAGTGGCCCTGGCATTTCAGCAATGGTGCTCACAGAGGATCAATTCCTCCTGGCAAAGTGGAGGCAAAGGTCAAGTCAGCCGATGCAGGCAAGACACCTGGCCAACCTGGGGAGCTGCGTGCCAGCCCTCCCTGGATCGCACTGCTGACCATGGGTGGCACCGAGGGTGGTACTGAGCAACCACAGTCAGCAGTGCCATCTGGGGAGTGATCTGGGAGGTACCAAAAAGCCCGAATGAACAAATTGATGGCGTGTGATCTGCTTGGTACCAGTGGGTCTTTGCATTTCTCCACTACCCTCTGAACTCTTAGGCCCCAGTTCTGGGAGACTTGGCCCAGCCATCCCTGGATAGGAGCCAC